TGTCGTTTAAACGCGTGCCATTTTCCACCGAGCAGCTCGGCGTATTTCGTACATTAGCGGAAACTCGACGAGGCCGTGGCGCCACATAAACCGCCGGTAATCATCGTCGACGCTTCACACGAGACTCCTAAATATTTCTACTCGGCGGCGGCGCGACCCAACCCCTCGCTTGCCGCGTATCTTTCCCCGCTTCGTTTCGTTATTTCACCGTTCAATTAGTGAAAACAAAACGCGTTCCGCGTTTCGGCGAACGGTTTTGCCATCGCTTTTGCAATTTATAAATCAGATAGAGAAGCGGGTGAACGAGGAGGGTGCAGGACGATGCATTATCGCGCAGCCCCGGAGCGCGTTATTCTCGCGATAGGATCGCCGATGCAGCCTCGATTCCCTTAACGAGTAACGCTCGATCGAGCAATGATCTCGCCGGATTTCGAAATCGTCCGCGAGAGCAGCAACGCTTTTGGGTGAAACCGTCTGGCCTGTACCCTTCGACCGGCGACTGTAGACAACCACCGGCAACCTACACATCCAGAGGGGGGTAGATAAAATCTGTATTACGTTTAGGGACGACGCGGCTGAACGCGCGTGCGCGCGCTCCCGTTGCAAACCTATTAACGTGCGTGAATGCGTTGCATCGGCCGTACGCACACGCGCGAAACAGGGACAGAGATAACAGACGGAGCGGCAGGATCGTACTCCTGGATCCTCTCTCGTGATTTACGCATACCGTCGCGTAGGGATGGGATCAAGCACAATGCGAGTACTTACGAATCCGAGTCGAGTTCGACGTTTAACCATTCGCACTCGCGGAGTTTCCCTGGATCAATCTGGATCAGTTTTCGTACGAAATGGCGAGTCAAGTATCTACTTGGAATAAAATTGTGTAGCGAAACAATCGCTCTGTTTAAGTATTTTACTTTTATCTTTTTCATCGTGGTCGGTTTATTACGTGATTTTTTTTGTTTTGTTTTTGAGAAAATTTCTTTCCGAGGAAGAGGAATTCCAATTCTTCAAAGTTTGAGGAGTTTTTGGGTCTTCACTCGGACAGTTACTCAAATATTTTTGCTGGAACACGTAACATTATAAACTTTTCAATTTGTTCTAACTGTAACTAAATCTTAGAAGAATAATATATTTGGCGTCTTTCTTTGATAAACTTATTTGTTGTTTTTGTTTCACGATCATTCCGATTTTAAGGGCGTTTTCTTTCAATATCAACTGCTCAGTTTCTTCGAATTTTCAATTTTCAATCTTTGATACCGAGGCGTTCGTTTCTTTCGCAAATCTACTTGCCAGATATTGAATCTCGTCTCTGTCGATCTTACTTGAAAATACAATTTTCATTCAGTGCTTGTGAAACAGCCGAAGTTATATCTGTATACTTAGAAACACTATTGGAAACATCTACGAAGAAAGGGTTCGAATGCAACGATTATTACTGGAACTTACTCGAGTATACTCGATCCCATCTCTAGCCGGAGCGAGTTTCCGAATTCCAAAGCTTCCCATTGACCGGGGTGCAGCGCGGAGAATCGGAGCGGCGCACTCCGCTCCGTGTGCGTTGGTACGAAATTTTGAAAAACGATTTTATCGAGCGAAAGCCCGATTGGAAGCCACGAGCACGGGGCACGAGCAGCGTTCGCGCGATATTTCAGCCAGTCAGGGGACAGCCGCGTAATTGCGGCATACATCTCCGCTCCTAATTTCGCTATAAGCTTCGCATTAAGGCGGAGAGGGGAAAAAGAGCCGGACGAATCGCGCCGCCCCGGCGACAAACAATTCGCCTCCTCCCTGCCTCGTCTCGTTCGTTCCAACCCTTTTTTCCACCAACCCTTGTTCCAAACGCTTCTTTTTTTTCCCCCCCGCGGTTCGCGCCAGCCGGCTTCCCGAACGCTAAGGACACTTTAATTGACAAAATTTCGCAGACACACCGCCACCGCCACCACCACCGGGCCACGCCGCGACATAAATTTCCAATTTTCGCCACGCAGAAATGGCGAAGAAGTTTAATTGGCGCCGTCCGAAACTTTTAAAGCGTTTCCGCTTGTCGGCTCGCAGCAGCGTCTTGTTCGTCCCTTAACGGAGGTAAAAAGCAGCCTTCCCAGGCGGTTTTTACCGTGAAAGCTTCCGCTTCTCGGCAGCTAGCCGCCGTTCGAATCAATTTTCGACCGGTGCGTTACACCGTGGAAACTTCGCCGCTAGCGGTGGTATTTGCGTCACGATCGACTGTCAGCCGGATTGACGCGACACGCCGGAATTTCCAAATAAAAAGCATACTTTCGCAATACTACTTTCGTAGGTACGCTTCGACGCCTTTGATTTTGCACTGCCACGGACTGTTGGAACTTTTTACGATTGCTATACGAGAGGTCTCACGGATCGTTAATGTTTATTATACGAGCACTATTACGAGCGTAAATAGTTTATTTAGGTCTCTGGTATTTATTTTGGATTATCGGCAGGTACTTTACAACGCAATTGTCAACACTCTATAGGATTCTTCTATTAAGAATTTGGAAAATATGATTTTGGTAGAAATTTTCTGTCAAATCAAAGTAGATTTCTTGTTGTACAGATCATTGTTTTATTTTTCCAATTCCCAGGCAAATGAGGCATTTATTTTAAAAGACTTTTCAAGGAGGAGTTATTTCGAATAACTATCGAATAAGAGTCAAATCCAGTTGTTCCTTTTTTTTATACGTTCATAAATATGACAAAGCATGATATTTCATACAAATGAAGTTGACTTTCAATCTTAGTTTGATCTATACCTAGTTAGAGCCTGTGTTTGTAATTTACAAATGGAAATAAATTTTTTAGCGTTAGAAACACTGACGACGATAGATTACTAATTCAAAGACAGATGGTCTACTCAAGAGTTAGATAGAAAATATTCCAATGTTTTTATTTTCAAACGCTACATCTTGCTTTGATGTTTTCTCGTGGTATGAACTTATCGTCAGATTCGCGGAAAATCGGCGAAACAGCAGGTTTCGAGGGAACGGGCGGCGAACGAGATCGAAAGACGGTTCACAGAACACCCGGTCTGCTGTCCCGATCTGGCCTCGTTGAACGGGATCGAGCGGCGCGCTGTTAATCTCGCGCGAAACGTAACGCGATTCATAAATTACCCGAACGAGCGGACGAGCGAGCGCTACGTGGAAAGTACGCGTATGCTTCCCGGCATCGGGATCTTCGTAGGCAGCCTCGGAGGATAGTTTATGGGCTTGATCTTGCGTACTGTTACCTTGATTCTCGGTCATTATCGTTCTCGACCTGCACGCGATCGCAACTCCTCCGATGCCATTGTTCCGGCCCAGGAAGTTTGCACGTTGAAAACACACTGGCGGAGATGGTGCATTTCGCAATACCCATCGCTAGCGTCGTATTTATTTTGTCGATAATAACGAACGCAAGGGCGGTGCTGTGTATTTTCTCATAGATCCCGTTCGGCCATTGTATCTTCCCCGAAAGCGCGCGGTCGACTCGCAGATCTGCCGAGTTCTCGGCTCGTTTAAACTGTCGATCATCGTGCGAAATTTCCAGATTCTCGCGGTTGTCTTGCGTGTCAGTAACGTAGTTACTTTTAATCGAGCACCAGACTCATTGAAGATTCATTCTCGTCTCTTCATACAAAGTGGCGAGCAATGGAAATTTTGAAATTAAGATCTGTTTAATCTTCGTTTATCGGCATTTTATTACCGTTGCATTTTATTGCATTGATCTTCTTAAATATAATTCCATTTTATGGAATTGTAACGTGGTTTCCTGTTGTTACAAGAAGCAGAGTCATACGTATTCTATTTATTTCAATTAAAAAAAAAAAAAAAAAACACGTTATATATAAGAATATTGTGTTTTGGAGAGGAGTGGCTGCTATAAAAATGCACGTATTTTTTCTCTCTCGAAACGTTTGAAATCGTTCAAAAACCAATTCTCATTTTTACTGTGAAAACCAATTCATGCGTCCGTGCGCTCGCTTCGCACAAAATAAACCTTTCAAATCTTTTAAAAGCAAAAAGTACTTTCATCTGCGGTAATAACCAATCTACACATTCACGGACGTTGCACATGTGTCATGTATTTCAAAAGCCATAGAACTCTTTGGAGAAGTTTTTCAAAAGAAAAATATTTGGATACTTGCACGTATCGCTGGAAAAAGGAATGGTCAAATATTGTTCTTGCAATTTTCCATTCTTAATCCTTAATCTTCTTACTGTTTTATAATTCCTTATATAAGTATCATTCACAAGTATTATTGTACAATCTCGCATATTACTTTCAAGTACAAATCTTTTTTACTATGAAGCACGCAAAGAAAAAAGATATTAACTGAAAATATTTTAAGTAATTAAGAGGTTCCCTGTGCTCTCTAACATTAAGAATTAAATTATTTCTACATTTTTTTGAGACAATACAATCTCACAACCAAAGTGAAAGATATTCTCCACTTTTTTCTCGACAACGTTGTGAATAACAAAAGTTGAGAAACGCACATTCTTCGCATTTTCAAAGTACACACGCAGACGATGTACAACATTCCAAATTGTCGCGTTCGTCGTAAAGAAGGAAAATCGTGACGCATCTCGGATACAAATACTCCAGAAAATGTGAGATATAAATCTGAATTTTTTCCCAAGTATCGTAAGAATATCGAAGAATATAACCTAAAAATGATGATAAGACGCACATACACGCTGCAAGGAAGGAAGAAAGAAGAAAAAGAGAGAGAGAGAGAGAGAGAGAGAGA